TATAGAACTGGAGGTCGCTGGAACAGAATGTTGCTACTCGGAGTTTCACGCTATTGCGATCGTCAGGCAACTGATCTATATATGATATATATATATATATAGATATATATATATATATACACTTACGTAAACACCTTGTTTGAGGAATTGATGTTGGTCTATACTGAGAGAAATTAAAACTGTTTTTTTAATATATACAACTAGATCTTGTATATAATATTATTCATTGATCCCTTGTTGGAATTATCAACAAGTTCTTAGCCCTTGTTTGGCTGTGATTAGTCATGTGATGGTCCAATGAACTTGAGAGTACTACTTAATGTAATCAAATCTTTAACATGTTGTGCAAAGCAGAAATGTTATTTATTGTATGAAAAGAGAAAATATATTACCTCCCTTACTGAACTGGTCAGGAGAGGCCATTTTTAAAATTTAAGAAGCATTTTAGTATGCTTTGTCCTTAACAAAGACTCAAAAAATGATTTACTGATGCAAATGCTTCTGTAAATTGTAAAGTCTGTAATTATGGTTTTATCAAAAAATGTTGCTTATTATTTATTCCCAGGCCTTGGAGATTTTTGAGTGACTGAAGTCATACAATACCAACATGAGCTTGAGTCTTCAAACTGTTGGGTAGTTTTCTTGCTCAGAAAATATCAAGTGGGCGGGCATGGGGGTGGGGGATGTTTGGGGTGTGCATTTCCTGTGGATAAGCCACTGTTAAATCTTTATATTATCATTGTTATTTAAAAAAAAAGTGTGTATTCTGAGATATTGCCAGGTAAAAATGATTTTAGGCAGTTTAAATGTTGGCTGGCTAGATGCCAGTGTACTGTATTCACAATTATGAATAAATAGTCTAAGATACATACTTATTATTATTATTATTATTATTATTATTATTATCATCATTATTGTTATTAATATCAAATTACTATTGTTATTTGTTATAATTAATATTATTCTTTATTACATTCACCCTTAATTAAAGGGTATTATAAATGATCTCTTTTATGGCAATTGCTTTCATCATTTGGAATTGACATGTTCTGTAAAAAAGGAATGGAAAAATGTACCTTTTTGATAACCGACCTTCAAAATCCCACTTTGTCGTGTTTTGTATATATATTTACATAAGAAGTAAATAATATACTTTACATGAAGTGGTTTTGTGGTAAGGTTTATATAAATATGTGTCATAGAGTTTACCTGCTCTTATGAAGTTAAATTTAGTTGTAAAAAGACAGATATACATAAGTACACATGAAAGTAAGGTATACATGCATACACTTAAGAAAGTATGTAATCTTGATTTATATTAGAATAGACCACTTCTTAAAAACCATTACCCCGTCTTGAAAATCATTGATTCTTCCTGAAAACCATATCCGCTTTCTGGAAAACATGTCTCCTATTGGTCAACCATTTAATTTGATTTTATATTTTTTTGGCGGATATGACTAGATATGTCAGATAACAGTATTAAATTACAATCACATTAGATCAATATAGGAAATTTATGTATGTTTGTGGTTCAGAGATTCTTTTTATACATGACTGTCTTGTTGGAAATTTCATTACTAATTGTCAGCCTATTTATCAAGCTACACTTATGACACACCCCTTACTACAGGGTGTCGTATCAGCTATTCTATAACATTTTACTCATTAGCCAGAAGGTTAGGTTAATTATTTGACCAGTCGTTACTGTTGTTTATTCAGTGCGTAATTGTAAGATTAAATTAATGTTTCACTTTTATACTTATTCTTTCTATATTTAAAAACCTTCACAAATATTCAAAAGATATACTGTACTGTCTAAGTTAACAACTATTTAAAGAATATTACCTCATCTAATCATATATTAAAGCGATGAACTTTCACTTGTATTTTAATATAATATTATTTTAACTGAATTGTTCTGATTGAAATGCTGATATCGAATACAGTATTACCGATATTTCATAATAAATTCTTTGATTATCAGCTATTAGATCTAAAAGCCTTTGCAGAAAATATAGAAACTGTAATATTTGTGTGTCCATTGATAGACAATTACATATTTTTTTCATTTTAATTACTGATTGAGAGCTAAGAGCTGAATACAAAGTAAACAATTTGCCAAGTTTTCAGCTAAACACAGACAATGTGGTAAATAATTATTTTATATTTTAACAAAAAGGCGAGACACAACTGACTTAAGTTTCTGATCATCTGGGTGGTTGGAAAATATGGGTCAATATTATTAATTTTATCAAATGTACTGTTAGAAAAAGTCGAAGCATAAAACAATGAAATTCATCAGCATTACTATGGGATTACTAGGGGATTTTTGTGTCTACTACCAGTTTTGTGATGGGCCTAATTGGGTGAAATAAAAAGAGCGAGTATGCCCTCTGTAGCACCTCTTTTAGATGTGTTGGCATGATTCTATTTTTTTTATTTAAAAGTTCTTTATATCCTTTTTGCAAAGATCTCCTTTGTCTTTAAAAATTGCTTCTCGCCAACGTTTTTCAACAATAAAACGAGTGTTAATAACAGCACTAGTTATTAACTACTCTACACATAAAACTATCAGAATTACAAATTAAATGTCACGAACAATATCATTCTTCGGAAAATCTATTAGTTCTGTTTATAATTGAATATCCAGATAGGAAGAGTAAGCTAATTTTAAATGTACAGACGGCCGAGTCGTCTTCCTGTCAGTGACAGACCCTTTCATTTCAACATTTGTTCCATTGCGAATTCATAATACGAATGTTTGTGCGCGTCAGTATGATACAGTCGTCAAATATGGACTAGTGCACCAAATATCGAATACTTCAGGCCTATAGCTTTATTGACCAAATTGGCTAAAATTGTCACTAAAAACAATGATTGTCTAATAGAAAGATGACTAGATCTCAGTTGAGATAGGCCTATTAAAGATGCAATTTAAAGATGCATAAAGATTTTATAGGCCCTATATATACAAATACATAACTATATATACACACACACGCCTACACCCACACCCTCCCACACACACACACACACACATATATATATATATGTATATAGGGCATATATAATCTCTATACGTCTTTAAAACTATGTTATATATATCTTATAATTGTTATATGTATATATAAATACACACACACGCATATATGTGTGTGTATATATATAGTATATATAAACCGTCTTGCGGTAATGCGGAAAATGTATATAAACATATATATATCCAATAACAATCAACATGACACTAATAAAACGGTAATTGATATGAAAACGGGGAACTTTAATTTTTCAATTTATAATAGACATGTCGCCATAACACACCTTTTTATTAAAGTTTATACTTTAACGGAATTTGCGTCATCAAACAAAACCTCGATTTAATCAATGTCTGCTGTCTAGCAGAATATCCTGAAATTGTTAATACTACAGTAATGTGTCCTTACCGTGACCTTCGACTAGGTAGATGTAGGAATTGATATGTGTATGCCTCCATTGCGACAGTTGTATCCGTCACAATTCAATATTTTTGGAAACAATCGGATATACCATGGAGATAAGGATATAGCAATCAGAAGAATGGCATTGGTAGTAGTAATTCGAATTCCCATCAACATAATTATCTATCACTAAGTATTGTTTTAAGGAGCGGAACTGATATCTTGACTGTTAAATATTTGTCTCAGTCATCCATGGGCCTTGGGCTTATTAAACTACTGTGTAAGACCATGGGCCTACTGTGTAAGACCATGGACTTATTAATAGGTCCATGGTAAGACCACACCTTTGGCGTCGCACCGAAATTTAAGAACTTGTCGGGACGCAAGTGGTAGGCCGATTGATTCAGCTACACTTTTTTATGAGAACACATCTCATAAGAACACTGAGGCTGAAATTGCTGAAATATTTAATAACGAAATACTGTAGAACAAATTGAAGCCGACAAAAAAATGTCAAATGAGGTTTTTAATTTAAAAATAGGTAGGTGTGACTGTAATACCCTCTCCGTACGTAGGCCTATATACTGCTGTACAACAATAATTTTCTATGTTTGAAAGTTCAAAAATATGAACATTTTGAGGCTGAATTTGGCAGAAAATAAGAACACCGAGTCTGGGCAAAATTTGACTGGTTCTTATAAAAAAAAAAAGAAAGAAGTGTACTCTAGATCTGATTTATTTATTTATTTATTTTATTTATTTGTTCTTTATACTGATTTGTCACTTTGTACTGTTACTTAAGGCTGGTTTCCATAACAATCGCTACTCGCTATCGCTGAATTCTTTGGCGACGCTGATTAGTCGGTAGGGAGCGTTTACGATTGCGTCGGGGACAGCTACGCATTGCAAGGATTGCAGTGATAGTATAACTGTAGCGATTCAACGGAAAACAAAATAAGCCAACCATTTGCACGCTCTACCATTAATACCTACTAATCACGTAATAACTCGTAGGCCTCTGGTCTAGTATTTAGTAATATGAAGTTAAGGAGACATGGCACGTGAATAAGTTATAGAAACTTCATTTCATATTATTTTATTCAGGAATTACAATCACAAACATTTCTTAAATACAAAACAGAAACAAACAACAGATATATACGGTAAGTAAGAACAACAGACATTGATTACTTGGGTAACCTAAGAATGTTGTAAACACTATAAAAACAATTCCACATAAAATGAAACAACAATGATAATGCTTAAATTGATAAAAATGGAAAATATTATAGAAACAATTTAGGCCTATAGTAATAAAAGAGATTACACATTTTCATTTCAAACATTACGGTACTTAATTAATCTTGCTTCAATTGACAATAGAGGTGGGCTAGCCAAGTAACGTTATAAGCACGGTATGCTTATGAAAGTAGGCCAAACAAACAAGGATGACATTTTAAAGCTTTTTCAAGTAAAAACTTGAACAACTTATGTTTTTGCCACACAAATAATAACGTTCCTATACTATTCGCAAAACGTTTTGAAGTTTCTGGCAATTAAGGATTTTTGTAATAGGGCTATGCCTACAACATCTTTGAGAGAAAATCAAAATGCTTTGATGTGTGTGTGTGTGTGTGTGTGTGTGTGTGTGTGTGTGTGTGTGTGTGTGTGTGATGTAATTTGAATATAAAGCCCACACATAAGACCAACGTAATACACATGCCCGGTACGCAAAAGCACCAGTTATCCCACCAGCACCAACATCAGATTTTTTCCCCCTAGATTTTACTACAGTATAGACCTATTTTTATTATTTTGATTCTTGTCGACTGTATGTGGTTGGATTAATTGAAGTTAAATGAAGTTTCTTAAGGTCTGGAAGCCAATTGACAAGTTCCTCACATTTAAACGAATATGAAATATACGATTATCTTCACGTATAGTTTGTTTTGATTTATTATGACTCAAATCCATGTGTCCACTTGTGACGTGTCTGAGTATGAAAATGAAAAAAAAAACCGAGATTGTAGGCAGTCGGTCATCGGAGACTCATTAGGCCTACATGTCGCGTTTATAGTCCAGTATAAACAACATATGTTCACTGATATCCTCATTTTTGAATATCTTAATGTTCATTAAATAAGTGGAAAAAGAAAGACTGTCATCTCTTAATACAGTGATTAACCTTGCAAACCATCCCGTAAAAATTAACATTGCAAAAGAACATTTTATAAAGATACTGGATTGTCACGAAGTGGATTTAAATCAAACGACGTTTTCAATTAAATACTGGCAAACTTTATACAAATTTACAGAGTAAAAGCTCTGCAACACGATCAAATTGTATGTACCAAATTTGTGTGATGTTCTAATAAATGGGCATGATGATGTCATATTACACCATGTATTACACCTAAATATGGGCATATCACATTTATTTGCGACATAAAATGTGATAGTGTGTTGACCGAGCTTAGTGAAGAAGAGACAAGTTGGTCCAAAGTGATGGCGGGCTTCGCATTTTAGAATGATTTTGTTTGATACAGAATTTGTATGTAAAATACAATTATAGGCTTTACAAGACATACGGGAAACTGTTGGCAGGGGTGGTAATGCTGTGTAGATACTTAGTCTGTTCTGTTGTGCTGACTAATGCCGATTAATCGACGAGATTAAGATGGTTTGAATTGTTGATTTGACTTATTGAACCCTGACATTAAGAAGTTGCATCCTTACTATAAAAATGGATAGGTAGAAATAAACAGAGAGCGCGATGGATCAAGGAAAAAATTATCTTAGGAACACATTCTTCTACTTAATTATCAGTATATAAATAGTATTACATTAGGTAAAGTAACCGTTAAGTAAGCGGCTACTCAGTAAATCTTGATTTAATGCGTCTTATGCAATACTTCAATGTGGGAAGCCCGAAAGATAGTAAGCAAGCTAACTCTTTAGAGCAACCAAACTGTAGTCAGAGGGTTGGGTTCGAATCCCAATTGAGATACTGTCATTGAATTCCAAACCAAAACCGATTACCGATCAGATACTCTACCATTCTCCAATAAAATCACGTATTTTTTTCTCAAGATATTGCGTAATAGGCTCACAGTGGTTATAGCAATTGGTATGAATTCCTCTGATGAAGAAACACGTTCAGTAGGCCTAATGAAAATTTAAAAAAAAGGGTTTTTCTCCATACCAAATTTACCATTTGGATATAAGCCTATATGTATATATAAGGTTATATATATTATATATATAACCTTATATATATAATATATATAACCTTATATATACATATAAGGTTTTATATAAACTGTATATTATATATAATGTAAATTTTATGTGTGGTATGTGCATGTTTAGGCCTGAACTGACCTTTTTTAAACGACCTTTTTATATCCATTTGGTTATAGGCCTATATGTATATATAAGGTTATATATATTATATATATAACCTTATATATAATATATATGACCTTATATATACATATAATGTTTTATATAAACTGTATATTATATATAATGTAAATTTTATGTGTGTGGTATGTGCATGTTTAGGCCTGAACTGACCTTTTTAAACGAGGCTCAAATTGCGTCAACATTCTAATTTAGTATTGTCTGCTAATTTCCACCAGTGCCCGCCTGTTTCATTCAGCAAATCAAACCAATATTAGCATATTTGTTCTTAATAAATTAATTCATTCTGACAAACAACCACTTCAATTAATTAGTGTTACTCGATAATTGAAATAATATTCGTTATTTCCAAATTAATTTGATAGTTGCAGAATAATAATGAGAAACATAATGATAATAATTCAGATATATAGTAACGATATACAAGTATAATGATAGAGGCGATTTCATATATTACGCGCTTTAAAATAGATATAAGTATATCGCCATTACAATTACCATAATAATATAACATGATAGCAACGATACTGGTAATGATACAGAGGTGGCGCTAGGCTATTTCCGACGGGGAGTCTGATGTCCCTGACGGAGGGCGGGCGATAGACCTATTCCCGACGAGAGCCTACGGGGCGTGGTCTGGGGGTCTGTCAAGGAAAGTGTTACAGGAGGCGAAACCCCGGAAAGTATGACAGGAGTTTCAAAGGCTTACAGTATTTAATCAATCTTAGAGTCTACTAATATGAAATAAATAATTATAATTTATTTTCTCCCCGGGCGATTTTGTTTCTCTCCGACAGGTGGGGGGTGGGAGCGCTGCCTCTGAGATGATATTAACATAGGCGTTTTGGACGGCCTACAATTATTTAGGACGGCCACTTTTACCGAGACAGCTTGGGCGGCTTGGCCTAATCAGCTCGGTCTAGCCTAAGGGCCTGGTCTACCTTTTGCAAATTCTTTATAATCTTCAAATCTATCGAATGTTACATTAAACTAAAGCTAAATCATATTTACGTTTGATAAAAGCAACATTTATTGATCGAATGTACGTTGTTTTCCTACCAATATTCCCAAAAATTCCCAAAGATGGGCGTGGCCCACCCATCGGCCCAGTGCCACGCCCACTGGCTTCCATTTTGGACGGCCTATGTGATACAGTAATAGGTAATTATAGTAAAATTTATAATAATAAAGAAAATACAGCTATATTCAGATAAAATAAAACAGGCCTAGGTCCACTTCAACTAAAATATGGAATCCATGACAATAATGATAACTTAGATTTATTAAAAATGTACACTGTTAATCATTGTCGTAGGCGCTTAATATTATATTGCTACTCTAATCTAATTTTAACCTATCGCGGTTGACAAAACTGCACCAACGTTACGCCTTTAAGAATTGTATAGTAACTCTTTCGAATAACACAATGATTGTGTGTGAGTTTAACTATATCGACAGAATGTTTTGACAATTGCATGATTGATTAACATTTTAATTACTAATAAATAGTTATGATATCTCATATCATTATAATCGTTTATCATAATAGGCTTGCGCAATGATTGATAACTTTTAATGACTGTTTAATTAAAATATAATATTGACATTAGCTTGTTTAAGGGCAGGTACTGTAATCACCTGGAGTTTTGGAGATGTATATAAGAAGTGAGGCAGTGTGGTGGAGTATTGTCATTGCTCTTGCATCTCTACAGTTCTAAAACAGTGCCTGGATATTCATGGTAAGTTTTGTTTTTTATCACATTTAACTATAAGTATAGAATAATTAGTTGAAGTTAACATTAAAATTCTGCTGGTATAGGCGGCCTATAGTCACTTTGTAATCAACACTCTTCTACCTTGACCTGTGTAGATCAGAAATGGTGTTCATAGCTTGGATTTTATAAAAATCCAAACAGTCGGCTGTACAGCCGACTGTTTGTGCACTGGGCCATCTTTGGACCCCGGTTCAATTCTACCCTCTGCTCTCTGTGTTTCAGCTTAAAGTCTAGAATGCAACACACCCAGCTGGCGATAAACCTGAGGGACAAAATCAAAGACCTGAAAGTCAACGTCGTCCAGCTGCCGAAGGACCCGAAAAACCAGAAGGTCCACCTCCAACTGGCAACGTACCTGGAAGACCGCGTCCAACGGGAGAAAGTGCCAAAAGACCACATCCAATTGGTGGAAGTCCCCGTCCAACTGTCGAAGGTACCGAAAGACAAAAACGCAATGATAAAAATAGACCAGAAGGACCACACCCAGCTGACGATAAACCTGAGGGACAAAAGCCAATTGGCCAAAGACCTGAAAGTCAACGTCCAGCTGGCGAAGGACCAGAAGGACCACCTCCAACTGGCAACGAACCTGGAAGACCGCGTCCAACGAGAGAAAGTGCCAAAAGACCACATCCAATTGGTGGAAGTCCCCGTCCAACTGTCGAAGGTACCCAAAGACGAAAACGCAATGATGAAAATAGACCAGAAGGACCACACCCAGCTGGCGATAAACCCGAGGGACAAAATCCAATTGGCCAAAGACCTGAAAGTCAACGTCGTCCAGCTGCCGAAGGACCCGAAAAACCAGAAGGTCCACCTCCAACTGGCAACGTACCTGGAAGACCGCGTCCAACGGGAGAAAGTGCCAAAAGACCACATCCAATTGGTGGAAGTCCCCGTCCAACTGTCGAAGGTACCGAAATACGAAAACGCAATGATGAAAATAGACCAGAAGGACCACACCCAGCTGGCGATAAACCTGAGGGACAAAATCAAAGACCTGAAAGTCAACGTCGTCCAGCTGGCGAAGGACCTGAAAGACCAGGTGAAAATGTCTAAAGACGCGAAAAACAGGAATAGTTTAAGCAACGTTTAATTGTTCAATTTCTTTGTTTTGAGATCATTTAAGATGTTTTTCGCAAAATAAATTCATGAATTGAAAATCTCAATTGTAAGTATTCTTCATTTTAAAACGTATTAATTTATACAACTTAAAAAAGATATACGTTTACTAGTATTTTAGCACTAATGACACAATGAGATAATGGAGTACATTGACTCTGACATTTAAGGGATAATGAAGATGTGACGATGATGCATGAACTGTTACGAACCGAAATATGAAAACGCCTTCTATGGATCTTCCTCTAAATAGAATTCGTTCCTTATAATATTAATTACCGGTACTGGGTAGCGATTACTTAGTTTTAATCACTCTCTCTACCAAATGTTGCAAAGCGATTATCGAATCTTCCATTTAATTTTTCTATATAATTATTCATCTTCCATCTACTTACAGTATATACCGTACCTCAATAATTTAAATGATTTAAATTTAAAATAATGAAAACAACAATATTGTCGGAAACGATCTGGTACTCGGTTGATACAAAATACAGTAGCAAAAATTAAACAGAACAAATCTATAAACATATGCATACAAAAATGGTAATTATTATATAAATTTAAAGCCATGGTATGACCAAAACTTGTCTGTTATATAACACATGTCGTTAGTTGCATACCGAGCCACAGTCAGCGTCCGATGGGCTGGTTGTCGTTCTCCACTCTTTGTGACGATGACGTGACGCCGTGTCGGTGGCAGCGTGAATGGATCGTCATTTGTTCATGTCACAATATAATTTGATTATAATATTGTCAGGAGCAGTGGCGGCGTTACAGGGGGGGGGGGGATTCCTCCCAAGAAAATGTTGTTGATTCCCAGTTGATTCCCCCTCCCTCTCACAGAAAGAAGAAAAATAACAATTCGTAGGGGAGAAAAAAATTATATGTATTTTCTACACATTAGTAGACTATATGTAAAAATCGATTAAATAAGCCTCTGAAACCATTAATTGTCATATTTGTCGGTGGCTCCGCCCCATTGACCACTTTCGAAACATTTCAATTGACATCCGACCACGCCCAATTTGTCCCACAGAATGACAACAAAGATTATATAACTATTTATAAGACCTTTTACGACAGTCAGTATAAATATGTAAACTTTTGCATTTATGTGATATACGCGTATAGCCCTCCTCTGATTTGTCCGTTGTTAAGTTCGAATAGCACTCCAGAAAGGTCCATTATTGTGCTTTTCCTCCAATACTAGAGTAATTTAGGCCTTCTCACAAAAGCTACAATACTATATGCCTAGACTATTATAATGCCTAACTAGACGATTCTGGAGCATACTCCTGGGTAGTGCATTTCGTATGAAATCTGTGTGGATGTCAATTCTGACTATTATTGGCCTGTTATCTGTCTGATTACTAATAGCTGGAACCAAACGGGATACAATATGGTTAGCTTTAAGTCAATCTCATCCATTGTGTAAAGAGTGTATAAAAACAACAAAGTGGCTTTTATTCACTCCAATTTTTGTCTAAAATTTAAGGCTAATCTCCGTTTCCAATGCTAGGCCTAATTAAAATTAACGATATGGTTGATTTGAAGAATACACCGGCAAAGAGTCTATTCAACAAAATAAGTAGGTATCTCCCTGGAGGTATATATAAAATAATGAATGAAGCTTAATGAATGCTTTCCTTCGGGTATAGCTAATTGGGTCTTCGCAAGGCACTGACCCCGGGGTCTGATTGCAGTTCTTGTTACCAAAACTTTAAAAGCGTCCAGCGTCACCAGTTTTGAACGGACGTGCAGGAAATTTTGTACACATAAACTAGAGGTGATTTCCAACAAACGTTTATCGCCCCTTTTTTAAGTTGGACCCCAGGGTTCCCCTACACCTACAAAACAAAACAGGAGTTTCAGCAAGAACTGTACATTACTGCGATTACCAATAATAGGGCACACACGCATGGATCTCGCGGTCAGTTACGGATGTGTTCTAAAGAACTTAAGGTTGTGAATTCGAATGTTTACTTAAAAAAATCTATCTTCCAAAAAACCCAATATAATAACTTGCGCCTGTACCGTATTTAAGCGCGGACCGGTGAGCGGTCCCTCTTGTTATTATGAGATTAGTCTTCCTTGAACATCCCGAATTGAAGAACACGGTTTATCCCATGTCTAAAACAATGTCTATCAAGATGTTGTTTTGAAATCATATTGTTACGTCTTCTAGATTTAGTAGATTGTTAAAATGAGTTTATTTTGGAAATTGACATGCATAATTGACTTTGGTTTCTATGCGTAATTAGCTTCACTTTAGCTAGACCTTACCTATTGTTGTAGATCGTCAACAATACATTCATCTGTTTTATAGAATTATTGCATAAAATAAAGCAATTTGAATCTACTTTAGGACACCCGAAGTTTAATATTGATTGTTATCGTGTGACTTGTAAACTTTGAATTTAAATTACCTTTTAGCATTTATAGCGAATTCCACAAAATATCACAGTGTCCTTTATAGTTCAAATATTAACCTGCATATTAGAAACGGTAAACACAAAGGCTACCCATTTATGCAACCCTTTCTATTCTTTGTATTTCTAGTTACAATACTCAATTATATACAGCGCTAACAAAAATATAGGCACTAGGCAGGATTTATACCCTAAGCTTTGTTTCCATAATTGCTACAAGCTATCGCCGACAGTTTTCGGTGATGCTGATTGGTCGGTCGAGTCGGGGAGCCGATTGCGTCGGAAAATGCTACGCAGTTCAACGATTGCACTGAAAACACTGTAGACAGTGTAGTGATTTTAAAGAAACCAGGCTTTACTGAGATGTAGACGAATAAATGTACAGTTATGTCCTATCGAGCGCACAAGAGAAAGGATAAAATGAGATTTGAACCTCGACAGCAATGTTCCTTACCCATAACCACAGACTCGCAACCGCTCAGACATTAAATTTAGATCGAGTTAATTTATTAGAGTATATATATACTGTCTCTTATACACATCTAGATGTGTATAAGAGACAGTTATTAACCCATTTTTCATTCCATTAAACACATTACGCCATTCCGTTACAATGTTATATTCAAAGAAATTAAAAATCAGCCTAATGCTATTCGTTCTGACACGTTAAAAAAAACGCAGCACACTCTTCGGAAAAGAGGAGGGGATTGTCTCCAGCTGTAGGCCTACTGCCCAATCACTACCAGAAGGACCCCACTGGAAATAAGTCTTCTTGTAGACTTTCGTGGTCTATCTCTGATGTTACACCAAATAAATTCAATCAATCAATCAATCAATCAATCGGTCTTTTGTTACAGTACATCCAAATAGAATAAACGTTCAAGACCTCTGCAAAATGTAATGCATAATTTGATGTTTATTCAAAGTTATATTCATGAAACAACGAGCATGAATCTGTGGGAGAATCGTCGGAACTTAACTGACCAAGTAATTATCCTGTGACCATAAATATTTATCCTTCTAATCTCATTTAATTAAATGAGAGATAATCGTATTCGTTTCGATTGCCGTCATTTGCTTGCATTGGGTTTTACTTTTCCTTATTTGATTCATGCTAATTAATACAGAGACTGAACTTCAGTCAATCAGTGAATTTTTCCGACGATTAGCAACGAACAAGCTTGTTATTGGAATATTGATTCTCGTGCAACAAGAATTCAATGCTTACATGGTACATGAAGGAGCTAAAAAGAAAGACGGATTATGCCCTAACCCCAATGTGATACATATTTTATATTAGGTCTAATAAAACACAGTTGTTGGGCAAAATCATTATTACACAATACGTGCGAACATACGCCTGCCTACCCAATCCCCTCTTCTCTAGCCATCATTACGTCCCTCCATGCCCTAGCCTTGCTGTGAATCAACATAGAATATATTAAGTTTTACAAATTTGAAAAGAAAAGATATTACTGTGCATGTAATCTACAGTACTTTGTGTGTTCTACTATTTTGGCCTAATTGTAATGAAAAAATCTTAGTGTATGCGCTTTTTGATTTATGTTGTCTTTGTAGGTCTACTTAAATCCACTCTTCTGCAGAATACTGGAACAGGAGTTGTTATAGTGACTGGAGGCATTAAAACAATCAAATGTCTGCGTCAGGCCTTCCGAGGAATTCGCTTCGCTTCCTGAGTCCCCCACCATGCCTCTGGCTCATCTAAACCCCTTACCCCATATTCAAATGTGTGTCTATGCCCTTTAGAGAGTAATTAGCAAAGCAATTAGGCCTATTGCCGTGGGATTGGGGAATTTGTGATGTTGATTGAAATTCTTGCATTAACTCAATTACATTACTTTGCTGCGGCATAATGTATTACTCATGTCTTTGAGATATAAACTTGAATGTTGCCGTTGTTCTCAGTCTTTATAACTAAACCTCACTGCCCAGGGTCGCCATACTCGTTAAGTAGATGAAATTTACAGGCAGGCGACAGGTGCTGATGTGATCTGATGAAGTCACAAGAGGAAGAGATGAAGGGGTTGCAAGTGTAGATTTGACGGGTCGGAATTCATAACTTTAGGCCTAATGGTGCGTGTTTGAACATACCACATAGGCATAGTTATCAAATGTATCACTTACAGAGCCAAATTCATTACAAAGCAGCATTTATGTAAATTGTTTCTCCCCGTCGTTACTTACGAAAGATCCAATGCATCGCACGATTCACAAGACGAGTTTTATTAGTGTATTAGAACAAGAATACAAAAGGAAAAGGGGAAGAAAGTTTATTTGACCCGAAACCCCTCTGATAAAATAAACCCCACATTACATTCCATCTTGGCTACCTGGACACTTGTTCTCATGGTAACCCCTGTTAATAAATGTTGACGGGTCCGATAATGTTTGAGTTTGATGCGTCATTAATTAACGACGTCATTAATATCGTCACTTTTCAAGACGGTTTTGACATTGTTACGTTTTTTAAGCGATATAAAACCCTTTCCAAAAAATGTCATTATTACCATCACATTAATTGCGAGAAAAAATAGTAATTCAACAGCATACCAGATGGAGGACACGATCTACAGACCTTGTTTTGGTTT